GCTTCAAGTGTCAAAGCATATTCCAGGGCAAGCAATAACAGTGGTTAATTATTCAGAGTGCTAAAAATGTGTGTCTTGTTTTCAGTTTGAATTTTGCTGAGTTCAGCTTCCAAGCTCTGGATCTTTGAATGTGAAATGTGAAACTTCTTGTTGTTGATTGCCTATATAGCTTGTCTGCACAAGGAAAGGAAAGGATTCTCTGCAACTGGTGAATAGGGTGGACAGAAGGGTGTTAGTATTCCTTCTCTGCTCTTCCTACCTCATTTGGAAAATCAGCATACCCTTAGGAGAAAGTCAGTGTAATTCTTTTAGCATTACTTCATACAAGTTTTGCTATATGGTCTTCATAGAATGCGAGTATTACAAATGAAAGATATGCAAAATATTCAGAACTTCAGAGTAAAAGGCTGGTGACTGTCCCTAGTATGTCAGCAGTTTCTTCTTCCTCAGTGTTGTGCTAACATTTATTTCATTGGTCTCCCTGATTAACTTTATCCGTTGTCTCTGCAGTGTCTCCCCAACAATCTTTTGATAATTGCCAAGGCTTAGCAGTTTCTGAAGTGATATTGTACAGCTTGTCTGGGAAATCTCAATGCAGATGGAAGCTGGCTGCTATGTGTGTTACTGTTGGCAGTGACTATATATTTAGAGCAGTATTAGTAACTTATTTTTTTTAATAGGAAAAAAAGATACTTGCTAAGCTCATCTCTGTTTGTGAGTGACATAGAGTTTACCCTAATTTATTTAGGTAGATAGCTCAAAGGCAGTATCCAAAGAAAGCTTGAAGTCATTCAAAGTACACATGCTGATGGGGAGAAACTGGTGACCACTTAGAATAATACAGTTTAAAATCTCCAGAATACTTTGAAAAGTGCTTCTGGGCACTGTGAGAGGATATGCTGGGAATAGTGTGAAATGGTTCCCTTCTGGGAAAGAATCACTAGCAAATGTCATAGCAGAGTCTTATCCAACCCTCCCTAACACTGCCCACCATGGTCTACAACAGAGTTAAGAAGATGAGGGGGAAAAGAAGAAGGGAGGGAGGAGTGAAGGGAAGGTCGGAACAGTAGTTCTAACTGGATATTACAAAGGTTCTTCTAGGAGAAAGAGAATGTGTGTGGTACTGCAAGGTGCAATCTACATCCTTTTCTGAAATATTGTTACAGTACTTCTGAAATGAGAGAAGAGGAGGAAAAAAAATCCAAACCAAAAAGAGATAAAAGAGGAAGGGAAAACAAAGGAGGAAAATTTTGAGGACACGGAAATGGAATGAGGTGAACCAATCATTCCCCACTGCATATTCTCCATCTGAGCCCATGAATATGCAAGTGAGTATCTGAACAAACATTATCACTGACACAGATTCCCTTCCACAGTATATTTGTGTTGCCATGCATATGAATAATTGCATTAGTAAGGCAGAAGGTCTGGTTCCCATATTTTACACGCATCTATATTTTATCTGTGGCCATGCTTTCCACCCTAATTATATGGTATTGGAAGTATCCATTTGTCCTGTTTCTTTTCAGTGAAAACCACTTTTTTTTTCCAACTGACCTCATGGCTAAAAGAAATTGGAGTAAGAATAAAAAGTGACAGCTCAAGCGAAGTCTGGACAGGACAGAGGCAAAAGGAAAGCATTTTAGTGAAGTGATGGAGATCAGGTCATCTCCCATCTGCTAGACCACGCTTAATTATATATCTGCATAGCAGCAATCACTTTCCTCTATCTTATCTCCTGCCCCTTTCTCTTCATGTAAGCTTCATTGCTAAAATAGGTGGATACATAGATGAAATGACGTGACACTCTTATCCCAGCTGGGGGGAACATGACACAAGCACATGCTAGCACTCTCTGTGACTTTTGTGTTTGGCACCAGTCACAGTGTCAGGGCTGCTCCCAGCCTTCAAGTATCCAGGGACTGATGTATTGTAATGGCATCCAGATCCTCCACTGGTATAGTTGTCATCAGCCTTCTGCCAGCAGATATATTTAAGTGCAAAACTCCTGAGAATCTGGCTGAGCATGCGTATCCTGGGCTACTCAGTTTTGGGAGTCTCACCAATCCCACTCTGAGGTCAGGATAAGCACTTGTTAATTTTAACTCACAGCAAATGTATTTTTGCAGATATTAGATTAATTCACTACTGAGCAAAAGGCCAGCACTGTAGTACTTAAATGTCATTTATGCCTTATCTGAAGATTTTAATGGGACTTATTTGGTATATGATCTTGGCCTGGCCTTGGCACGAGGGCTATTTTCACCCGAAATGAACTACTGAGGGGCTGACAACATCCTTTGGAAGACAACCAGCAAAAAGTCATTACTCTTGGGATAGCTGTGAACTCTAGGAGAGTTAGAGAAATATTTCCTTCTTAGGCAGAAAGCAGTGTCATATAAAGAAACAAACACAAGCCCTGGGCTTATTGGCAAACTACAAAAGCAAGAGTAACTGCAAAATGTTTACTTACACTCAATAAGCAACATCTTCATAGTTTCGAATAATGTTAATGTCTGCTCCTTTTTTATAGTTTAAATTATTTTCACAAACCATAAAGTCAAGATGATAAAATTGTTCATCCTGTAGAGCACATCTATTTATAGAATGGATGTGTCCTGTACTAATAAGAATCATAGAATCATTTAAGTTGTAGAAAGATCATCTAGTCCAACTGTTAACCCAGCACCACCAAGCCCACCACTAAACCATGTCCCACATCTACACATCTTCTAAATACCTCCAGGGATGGTGATTCAACCACTTCCTTGGGCAGACTGTTCCAATGCTTGACAACCCTTTCAGTGAAGAAATTTTTTCCTAAGATCCAATTTAAACCTGCCCTGTTGATATTTGAGGCCATTTCCTCTTGTCCTGTCACTTGTTGACCCCACCTGGCTACAACCTCCTTTCAGGTAGTTGTAGAGAGTGACGAGTCTCCTTTCCTTCAGATTAAACAATCCCAGCTCCCTCAGATGCTCCTCATAGGACTTAATTTCCAGATCCTTTACCAGCTCCATTGCCCTTCTCTGGACATGCTCCAGCACCTCAATGTCTTTCTTGTAGTAGGGGCCGAGAAATGGACACAGTACTTGAGGCCTCACCAGTGACGATGATCAACAAGGGGATGATCACTGCCCTGGTCCTGCTGGCTGCACTGTTCCTGATACAAGCCATGATGCCATTGGCCTTCTTGGCCACTTGGGCACAGTGCTGGCTCATGTTCAGCTGCTGTCGACCAGCACCCCAGGTCCTTTTCTGATGGGCTGCTTTCCAGCCATTCTGCTCCCAGCCTGTAGCTCTGCATGGGGTGGTTGTGACCCAAGAGCAGCACCCAGCACTTCACCTTGTTGAATCTCATACAACTGGCTTCAGACCATCGATCCAACCTGTGCAGATCCCTCTGTAGAGCCTTCCTACCATCCTACAGTCCCACCCAACTTGGGGTCATCTGCAAACAGACTTGAGGGGGCACTCGATCCCCCTGTTCAGATAATTGATAAAGGTATTAAACAAGACTGGCCCAAATATGGAGACCTGGGGAACACCACTTGTGACTGGCTGCCAATTTGATTTAATTCCATTCACCACCCTTCTCTGGTCCCAGCCATCCAGCCAATCTTCTACCCAGCACAGAGTGCTGCTGTCCAAGCCATAGGCTGCCAGCTTCTCCAGGAGAATGCAGTGGGAGATAGTCAAAGGCTTTGCTAAAGTCTGGGCAGACAACATCCACAGCCTTTCTCTCATTCACTAAGTGGGTCACCTTGTCATAGAAGGAGATCAGGTTGCTCAAGCAGGACCAACCTTTCACGAACCCCTGTTGACTGAGCCTGATCTTCTGTTTGTCCCCTGGTTGTGCTGTATATGCTGTGTGATGGCACTCAGGACGATCTGCTTCATGACCTTCCCCAGCACTGAAGTCAGGCTGACAGACCTGTAGTTCCCTGTATCCTCCTTCTGACCCTTCTTGTTGATGGGCATCACATATGATAACTTAAAGTCAGCTAGGACCTCCCCAGTTAACCAGGACAGCTGGTAAATGATTGAAAGTGGCTCCACGAGCTCTTCCCCCGGCTCCCTGAGTACTCTTGGGTGGATTCCATCTGGCCCCACAGACTTGTGCATGTCTAAGTGGTGTAGCTGGTCACTGACCATTTCCCATTGGGTTATTAGGCCTTCATTCTGCTCCCTTTTCCTATCTTCCAGCTCAGGGCTGGGTACCCACAGAACAACTGGTTAAAGACTGTAGCAGAGAAGGCATTAAGTACCTCATGACTACCTCCCAAGGGTCAGACAGGATCCTAAACAGGCCGAAGTCTGACCTGGGAAGTTCAAGGAAGCAGTTCTACTGACTCCCCTCCTTACTTCTCTGAGAATCAAAATCTCAATCATTTCATGATAGCTCTGCCCAAGGTGGCCTCCAACCATCACATCACCCATCAGTCCTTCTCTATTCAAAACCAGCAAGTCCAGTGGGACACCTTCCCTAGTGTGTTCCCTCACCAGGGGGAACAAGTGTGCTCACTGTGCCAGGAAGTTGCCCTCCATAAGTTCCAGAAGCCACTTAGACTGATTCCCCTCTGCAGTGTTGTATTTCCAGCAGACATCTGGTAAACTGAAGTCCCCTATGAGAACAAGGGCTAGTGATTAGCAGACTTCACCCAGCTGCTTATAGAATATTTCCTCTGCCACTTCATCCTGGTTGGGTGGTCTATAACAGACTCACACCATGATCCCTGCCTTGTTGGCTTTCCCCTGATACTTGCCCATAAACACTCAGCCCTAATGTCTCTATCATTAAGCTCTAGGCAATCAAACCACTCCCTAACATACAGGGCTATCCCATCACCTCTCTGTCTTGCCTATCCCTTCTGAAGAGTTTACAGGCATCCATTGCAACACTCCAGTGGTGTGAATCATCCCACCCTGTTGCCATGATGGCAACTATGTCATAGATTCACCACAGCTTCCACCTCCTCCTGTTAGTTGCCTGTGTCATGTGCATTGCTGTAGATGCACTTCAGATGGGCTATTGATCCCACCACCTTTTTGAGGGGTGATACCTTAATTCCTACATGACTGTTCTCAGCACTCCCACCATTTCTAACTCATCAATAACCCTTGCATCTTTGCTGCTAAGGATCCTTTAAAAGGAAAATTTATTATCCGAGTGTTTTTTAACTGTGTTCTCCAGTCCCGTGCACTTGATTGTCATAATCTAGAGCCATACCAGTCTCTGGGTAGCAGTTTTTTAGCAATTCAGAAGATTTATGTGTCTGTTGCTGTGCTGAATGCCATTCTTTGAGTAAGCACTGAAACTTTCTTTTGAGAAGTGAAGGAGGAGGAGGAAAGATTAAAGTAGATCATGTGCTTCTTCTTACATAAAATTTGAGGAGCTGATGAAAAGCAATTTGATTAAAATATGATTGAAAGGATGTTATGTGGCATGCCTGAGACTGATGTTTTTGCATGACATAGGTGCATGGGGGAGGAGAGGAAAGTTTGGTTGTTGATAATTCTGTTGGTTTTTTAAGGATATTAATACCTAATCTTGCAAGCTGCCCTGCAGGCAAGCCTTGTGAGACTGACTAGTAGGGCACTGCTACAGTGGCAGAGTCCCTTTGCAGCAGTTGGTTAAGACTGCACTGAATTTGCATCCTTGGTTGAGAATGCTTGTAGTCAATTAGAAACCTGGTTCTCCCTTACATTAGGGCTGCTCTACATCACCCTGGGAATATAAAATATATTTTAAGTGAATGTAAGTGTAACTTATAACCCTTATAAAACAGCTTTGCATCTTACAGCAGTTTAAAGCTTTAGGGTAAGTGAGAATCTGGATTTCCAATGTATAAATTATGGTCAGTCTGACTGAAAATTAATTGAAGATTTTTATATTTCGTAATGTTACCACTAAGCTAACTTGAATAAGTTATTTACATCTAATTCAATATTGCAATTGTATTCATTAGAGCTCCTTAAACTGTATGTTAATATCCAGGTTTCAGTGTTTTGCTTTGTAAATATTTGAGATTTTTACAAACATACATTCAGAGATCGTGTTGTTCTGTCCTTTTTTTCCATTCCAAAGTTCCTAGGAAAAGACATAGCACAGGAGGTCAGTATGGAAAACACTTTCTTTCCATTGTTTCTTTTCATATTCACTATGCTTCTTTAAATAATACATCACAAGACACTTTATATTTTGAGAGGTTTTGGCAACTAAATTAAAGTTTTCAGTGTTTGTTCCTTGAATATCAACTTATTGTGATTAATTATCTCACTCTACGCACCAGTTATGGTCTGTTACCACTGAGCCCTCAGCTGGCATTGATGGCACTTGAATAAATCATTTACTCCAGGATGTGTTCCATGCATGTTACTTTTAAAGTGGCAGGGATTTACTCTATACTGTTTTCTGACCATAAAAGCAGCAAAAATAAATAATAAATCATGATATCTTTATGAAAACAAATAAGACTTACTTTTGCAAAAGCAGTTACACACATTCCTCTTTGTTCTTGTGTCTCTGTCAACAGCATTGCTCCCGAAAAAGGAGGCAGAAAAGCATCCTGGGTATTAAACATACTGAGTATCATGTCTTCAGGATCTCTTCAGCTGCTTCTGCCACTAGTAGTTTTTCATAACACACCAGAGTTAAATTAGCTATATATTAGATACTTATAATACAAAATGAACATGTATCTTGTTATTTTGCTGTTCCCATTTCTCTCAAATATTGTTCCTTTCTCTCAACAGGCATTCGTCTGTCATGATTGATGTTTGTCATAATGTACTGCACAAACATCTTTAAAAACAGTGAGCTTTCTTTCTATTCCTTTCTTAATTTATATTTTCTAGAAGATTTTAATATTCACTGGGATAACATCTTAAAGCCCTTTGCAAAATCTGTATTCTGTAGTCTCCCACTAAAAGCAACATCTAATCAACAACCAAAGTCTGCAGAATGAACTCTCTGGGAGCAAATGACTAATTCTTGATAGGAGGACTGTGGTTTTAAGTTGTTGCCAGCATCTTGAGAACAGTTCTATGCTGGAAGCTGCTCCCAAGGGTCCTGTGCACGGCTAAGGGTTGGACTCGACAATCCTTGTGGGTCCCTTCCAACACAGCATATTCTGTGATTCTTTCAGTTTCACGAAATACTGGCACAGGCAGAGCAGAGGAGGTAGCTGCTCCTCCTCACTCCACAGAGGCGCGGGGACGTGCACACCAGTAGGGGGAGATGAGGGGATGTCTTTCCACTTCTGGGAATCTTGGCACTGTTGCCTGCCTTCAGATACATCTATTTCTTCTGTAGTAAGGCATTTTCACTGCACAAACTTGCAGTGCTTAATTAAAGCAGTAATTTTAAACACACTTAGGCAAATCAGTGCAGTGTTCTACTGGATACTTAAGTTGAGTTAAAGTTGTTGCTTGCACCAGAAAATTTTATAGAGACAAGCTATTCCTGCAGATCAAGTTTTAAGTCGATGCACATTTAACCACACTGTTGGGCTCTGCCTGGGCTACTGGCCCTGCAGCTGGATGCAATAGGGCAACTGGGACTGTGGCCCAGCTGTGCAGGAGCTAAAGCTTGGCCAATTTCCTCTAATAGCAGATGTGTCAGGCAACTCCACCAGTTGCTCTTGGCAGTCTGCAGTGCCATTTGGCTGTAGTTTTGCTTCTGACTCTCTTGCCTTTCATTCTTGTTTGCTTAGTCTTGATTCCTGGTTCCTGCTCCCTTTGTGTTATGCTCCTATACCTCACCTTGTCCCAGCCCTGACTTGACTTATAACAAGGACTCTTTGGTTTTCAAACTTCTGGCTCTATGACTTTCTGACTATCCTTTTCAGTTTGGGATGACTCCTTCCATCTCTGGTGTCTTGATTTATTCTTATGCTGGCTTCACTCTCTTTGTATCCAAACTTAATTCTAACCTGGTCTGCACCTTTAGACTTAGTGGAGTAGTCTGATGAAAGTATGTGTGCCTCTTAAGAAATCTGAAACTGCAGTGGAAGAAACTTGATTAGCTTGCTTCTCAGCAGTATTGAAATGGGGACAGATGTGGAAGTCCCTTGCAAGATTCCTCTTGAATCTGCATGCTGTCAGGGATTACAAGCATGACTTGTGGATCACTTTTGCACCAGAGGCTTAATCTGAATGCAAATATTCATTCGCAACCTTAGATGACCACAGTTATGCTTCTTTGGTATTGAAACCTGTTGTAAGCAGGCCAGCTTTGGTAGGGGGTATAACCATTTCCAGGGCTCAAGGTTATTTTCTCTCACTTGTGTTCTTTTCTTCTACTATTTGTTGACTTTTCAAATATCAGTCAAGCTCTGTATAACTTTTCATGGCACCAGTTGTTACTGTTTTCCATGTTGATTCAGCATCTCGGAATTTTAGCTAACCTGCTTTCCATCTCCTGTATTCCAGATGCCATTGCTTGCATTTTATTGCAACACAATTCATTTTGGTATCACCACTTCCACGACTCTCTGTAGAATTATCTATTTTGCTTTGCTTTCTGAACAAGGCACAGTATCATTAACAGTGTGTATAAATTCTGCCGAAAGCTTCAGAACCAAATCCAGAACCTGTATAATTAGCCAAACCAAAAGCCCAACAGATGTATGCTGGTGGAAAACATGCGAAGCTCCAGAGAGGCCGATGATGCAACAGGTAAAGTGCCCGCAGTGGACACATGAAGACCACATGTGAGGAAAGGAGAGGATACATTTAGTGATGGATTATATGTCTGTGTTTTGCCATCTGAACTTTATGTCTCTTTGCAAACATAGCCAGAAAACACATGGATAATACAAAGAATTGTTACTTGCTCCAGGCCCTTTATCTATCTCCCTCTTGTGCGCTGAGGCAGAATAAGAGTGAGAAAACATTTGTCAAAAAAATCCTCAGTCAGAGCCCATTGATAGTGATCTAAATTGCTATATGGTCCTCTCTATAGGCTCTCTACAATGGGGTGAATTTCCTCTCTTGGATAAGATGGAACCAAATGACATGTGGAGTACTGATAAATTATACTGGCTTTCCAAGGCTAGTATACAGCTCTTGGTATCAAATTTATTTTAGTCAAATGTAGATGAGTCTAGTTCTTTTGAAAGTTTTAGGTGCTTGTAGTCTGTGTTGTGACTGTGAGTTGTAACAGGACATTGATTCCACTCTGGAGCATCTCCTGAAAACACACTGTCAACATAGACTAGTACGTAGTGGTTTTAATCTTGTAGACAACTATGTTATAGAGAATATGGCCTAGGCAATAGACCCAGATAACGGATGTTGAGAATCCCCAGTAATTTTTACACTGAGGGGAAGTAAACTGAAACAATTACAAAGCTCTCTTAAAAGAAAAATCAGGAAAATCATCTGTTAAGGCAGCACCATTATCCAGACTAACCTCACTGCACATATTTTCCATCCAGCCATCATAGTACTCAAGAGCCCTCCCTAATTCCCCCTTACTTCCAAGATACTGTCAAACTTACATTTATTACATGTGAAGCCAGAACTTCCAGAGGCTAAAACTAATGCATGAAGAACAGATCCCTGTAGCTAGAAGAGTTTTTCTCTAATAATAATGATTAAAATTTTAAACACTATCTCTTACTATCAATACTTTAAAACACTATCTTAATTGGTTGAGTCAGTGTGCAAAAGCATGGTTACATTTCTAGAAAATAATCTTTACCTTGCTGCTGAAATAGAGTCAAGACAATCTGATTGCTAATTTTTCATGGGACTTACGGCAGTTTGGAATCCATTAGTCTGTATGTCTTCATGAAAGTCTGGCTTAAAATTACTGGCTTCTTATTGTATGGGCATTTATTCCTTCTTCCACTTCAGCTGGATGCTGCTACTTTCCAGAGCTGCTTAAAAGAATTGTCATGTCTCAGCTAAAATGGAAAAGAATTGCTCATCTGAGGCAAAGAGGTGGGTACTGACTTATTCCAGACTTGAAAAAAATTCTTTCTCCCCCAGCTCTCACAGAGCTTGTCTTCAAAATTGGTAATCAGAAGTGACTGCTCTTCAGGAGATCAGAGCTTCCAATGTATCATGCTGGGCTTCTATTCTACCAGAGGATGAAATGACTAACGATGCTACTAGGAATTAGTGATGCAAGAGGTCAAGTGTGTTAGAATTTTCGCAGAATCAACTGACTGGGTTCTTTTCATTCAAAGATATGATCTCCATGGTCTCCTCCCACTATTAAATGAGAAAAAGGAATCTAATAGGACTCAGATCCCATGAAAAAGAAATCCCTCTATGATACAGGAGTGTGAGAAAAGATGAAGGACCACTTGTGTAGATGGATTTAAAGGACAGATGTAAGTCATAAGGAATGGTTATACTACTGTTACTACTAACAGAGTTCTGAAACACAGAATATTTCTAGTGTGTCACCATTAACAGAGAACAAAGACGGTCTTTGGTGATTTCTTCCTCTCTTCCTTTCCCCTCCTCATAACAAGGATAAGGATTTTGCTCCTGAAACAAGTCATGGGGTAAAGACTGCACCACACCATGACAGAGTAGTCATGAGGTCTTATAACTGTGATCTGAATCTTGGCTGTGTCATACCTTGAAGAAGTGGCATGATACAAGGTATTTAGCAGTGATACTGACCTTTGTCTTATGAAAGCTTATCTGAAAACTCCTAAAGAAGAAATGACCTGAAAAGGGGGTTCTACCTTGGAAAGGAAGACTAAATGCATTCAACGGATGAATAATCAAGACCCTCCACAAGATAAAGTGAAAGAACTTTACCTAGCCCAGATGGCATGTTATAATTGAAAACTAGAAGCAAAGGAAAATTGTTAAAAAAAAAGAAGTCCTATATAGCTTTCAGAATTAATACAGACATGCTGGAGTTATGACACCAGATGTCCTTATATAAGAAGCAACAATGACGACACTTTCTTGTTAAAAAATCAAAGCTGAAGTCTTGTTCTCTGACTAATGGGGGAGCAAGTGTAAGCTGGAGAGACCCAGTCTCTCTTACTGCAGCCTATCAAGACGAATCCAGATGACTCACGCAAACAGCCTGCAGTCACAGAAGAACAGATACAAACTGGTTGTCCATATCTCATGAAGCTGTGGCCCACAAGGTGTAGGCAATACTGGACATACTGCATTCCTGACATTGCTACTCCTTCTGTGTCCAAGCATCGAGTGCCGCTAAGCAGCGCTTCCCAGCAGTGGGGATGAAGATGGAGGTTTTTCTTCTCTCCGCATTGTTCTGTTCACTTGGCACTTCATGAAGTATGCCTAACATATGGGGAGGTTTCTGCATACTTGTCACGGGCTTCAGGGTTTTTCTGGGCATACATAAAATACCCTTGCTTGAGCACAAGCTCTGTTTCATATTCTTGTGTTACCACTGAGATAGGAATCTCAGATGGCAACTTTATTACCCAGCTAGTTTGTGCCCCTGGGATGATAAGAGGATGGTCACAGCACACAGAGCTCACCATGGTTGTTGGAACACACTGAGAACTCATGCTGTTGTACTGAGTATCAGTCACATACAATGTCTTCCCATGTTCAGTGAAAATACCACAGACAGCCAACAAAATGTCCCCTAAAAATGTCAGGCAAATCAAAGCAGAGAATATGTGTCATAACTGCCATCTTATTTTCTTTGTGGCTTTCTAAAGCAATAGTATCTGCAAAGCGAGCAACTTGTACATCAGCCTGGAGGGAAATGGGAAGCCGGTTTAGGTGTCTGTTGATTCTTGGCTCACGTACACAGAAGTTATTCAACAACAATTCTGTAAACATCCCTCTTCAAGAATAGGTGTGCCCTATTTTCGTCTTTAATTAAAACTCACAGTGTTATACTAAACCGGAACAGCTTAGCCTTATTCTGGAAATTAGTCATGAAATTAGTCAGGAACAGCTCCTCCTGAACAACTACATGTATAAACAAGCCCTAAACAATATTTATGTTGTCTGGAACCATGGGGGGACAGTGTCACAGATGCAAATTACTTTCCAATCCTCTAAGAAGAAAGACGAAGAGTTGTTTGTTGTCTTCCAACCGGGGGCGGCGAACATTTCTCACCCATGTTTGACCATTGTGTTTGCCCTTGCAGGACAATTTAAGGAGGCGGTGGTGCCGGACGGGCCCCAGCAGCAAGGCCGAGCTCTGCCCCGTTCGCCGAGCTGGCCTGCGCCAGGTGCGCCGGGCGAGATACCGAGCTGGGGGAGATGGGTGCGCTTTTCCTCCACCCGAGCCTCTTCCCCGGGGGATACATCAGCAACCCCTCGGCTGAAGGATGTTATCTAAGAAAGATTCCTTTCCGTCGCAGGCCAGCCCTGGCTGCGCGCGTGCCTGTACCTGCGTGACAGCGCTCCGGGGACGCCCCACCCCGGGGCGGGCACCCCCTGGGGGCAGGTGGGACCCGGGCGGGGCGGGGGGGCCCCTGCCGCAGGCGCGGCCCGGCGCGGTTCCGCGGTGGAAGCGGCCGCCGCCTGCCCGCCGGGCCGACAAGAAGTCTCCCCCCCACGGGCATTACGCGCGGTGGCGGCCACCGCTCCCCGCGGGATTGCGCTGGCCCCGCCGCCGGGTGCCGCGCGCGCGGGCGGGCGCAGGGCGCACCTGGGCGGTGCGGACGCTGCGCGGGGCGGGGGCGGCTGACAGTGAGTGGGCAGCGCCGCGGCTGGCCAATGGGGCGCGCGGGAGCGGGAGCCCGCGGGCGGGGCCGGGCGGCGGCGCGGGGGCTGCGGCGGCGGGAGCGTTTGGCAGCGGCGCGGGGCCCGGCGGCCCGGTGTCGAGCGCAGCCGGGGACAGACCGCTGCGGGGGGCGCCGCGGGCAAGACACGGATCCGCATCCCCGGTCTGGTGCGGGGCGGCGGTGGTGGCGGCGGGAGAGCCGGAGCGGGCGCGCCCGCGGAGGAAGGAAGCGCAAGGGCTGGCCGCTGCGTGTGCAACCTGGCGTTCCTGCTGCCCAGCGTCCACTCGCGGCTTTTCTGCCGGCGCTGCTGACAGCCGCCCCCGGCGCGGGTGTTGTCGCGGGGGTCTTTGGCGGGGGGGGGAAGAGCGAGCCGTCCTACACAGCCCGGAGGCGTGATTGAAAGCGAGCAATAATTAACTGGAGGAGGAAGAGGAGGACGGGGGTGGAGGAAGACGAAGGAGGAAGGCACCGCGCGGCAGAGCCAGACGAGCCAGCCGAGCGGACGGCGGGACGGGAAACTTCGGCGCAGCGGAGGAGCCGGAGCCGTGACCGGCAGCGGCGCCCCCGTCCTCAAGCCCGCGCCTGCCCTGCCCGAGGGGGGAGAGCCTCGCCGCCTCCCCGGCCGCCGGACATGTCGGAGCATAAGGCCGTTGATCCCAAGTTATCGACGACGGACAGGGTGGTGAAAGGTGGGTGCTGCGCCCCGGCCGCCCTTTTCGGCGGGTCGTCCGCTGGTCGCGTCCGTGCCTCAGCCGTCCCCGCCCCGGGCAGGTACCGTGGGGCTGCCGCCGGCGCGGCGCTCGAGCGGTGGCTCGGCCGGGGGCTTGCGCCGGGCCCCAGTGGAGGGTTGCGGCTTTCCCTCGACTGCCCGCCCGGCGCTACATTGCAGCATTTCCCCCCCTCCTCCCCCCCGCCGCCCTCCCCCTCTCCGCCCTTGAAAGGCGCTGCACAGGGCTGGCGTGAGAGAGAGAGAGGGAGCCCCAGCTTCCTCCCCCGCCCCGGTGCCTGGGGGAGAGGGGGGCAGGGCTCGGCTCCCTTCCCCAGCCCGCCAGCTCCTCCGGGCATCCCCCCTTCCTCCACCTCCTCTTTCTCCGGGCTGCGCTCCGCGGAGCCCCCCCTGCAGGCTGGCGCCGCCGCTTGTCACTGCCGTGCTGCTACCCCCGGCATGCAGCGAGGATGCTCTGAACACCTCCCCGCGCACAGCAGCGCGGGCTCCGCTCCCGCACCGAGCGCGCTGCGGGGGACCGGCGCGCCCGGACCCGGCTGCCCCGTTCCCCCGCTCCGCGCAGGGCCGCCGCATCAACCCCGCGGCGGGGATGCCGGCGCGGGAGGGGTCGGGCTGTGGCGCGGGCCGCGGGCGCTGTAGGGAGGCGGCGAGGCTGCTTCCGTCCTCCTCCTCCTCCATCGCCGTCTTCTGCTGACGGCCCGGCCTGCGTGGATGTGAAGTTATCCCGCGGGCGTAGCGTGGCCGTGCTCCCGCGTGTGCCTGCAGATGTGCATGGGGGTGCTCGGCACAAACGCGCATCGGCTCCATGATTTTTGCTCTGTTCCGAAGATGTGCGTGTGCTGCCAGCCTCGGCCGTATAAACCAATTAGAGTTTGGGTTAACAACACACTGTGCCCTGCGGTACAGACCAAGGTCTATCTTCCTGGAGTAGTGCCTCATTTAAATTGCACTTGTGCGTTTCTTAGTATGTATGAAGTGCGTGTGTATTTAGTGGTCTGGGGTTTTTTGTGTGTTTGTGGATTGGGTTCTTTTTGTTTGGTTGTTTTTTCCCTCCTTTCTGCACTGGTCACATAGCTGGATGCACTTGGCTATAGTATATTTCATCCTGTTAGGTTATAACCCGTATACCAGTACCGAGTGTTATGGTGCACAGCACAAATCCTAGGTGCAGAATGCATCTGTACACATCCCGGGAGGCAAGAAATGGAAATGGCCTTGAAATATATACACTCCTGTATTTACATGAGTGTATATAAAAATTAAGCACTCAATGTAAATATTATTTGGAAAGATGTGTTGTTTATGTTTGTGTTTATGTTTACTCTTACCTTCTTAAACCTTTTGCCCTTTTACTTCATTTTATTCTCCTCCAAAGGAAATTGTAGATCTTCAGATGGTGTAAGAAACATAAGTACAAGAAAATTTTTTTAGAATTACTTGGAAATTCACCTTTGCCTTTTAATATCTGGAATATTTACTTTTTAAATAGTTAGTTTTATATTGCGCCAAGAGTAGGCTTTAGAAGCCTGGAACTGCTATGTTTAGCTGATTCTTCTGTAGAAACAACAAATGACCATCCTGTTGGGAGGACTTCTTCATGATTATGGGATGGCTAATTTTTTTTTTTTTTAATTTCCTTGGTCTGCTGTGGTCCTAACACATGACCAAATGACCTGATCTTTGCTATGGCAGAACTTCCTTTGGCTTATGTTGGTGTTCATTCTGAGTAGGAATTATCTCAATATTTATGAAACCCTCAGTGGTTTCAGCACATCTTAATGCATTTTGCCAACAGTTGCTCTTTGCATTTTTCACACACGTAAACATCTCAAACATCTAAAAAGAGTATTTCTAAGAAAACTTAGCAGAATATATAGTTAGATATTTTCATAATGTAACTAAAACAGAAGCTGATTTTCTTAAACTGAGTTAAAGTCTTGAACAGAAAGAACAGAACATACATGCTGCTTGGGTGTTATCTCCCCTTGGTAACTGTTCTTTCGTAATGTGAGTGTTTCAGTGGAGATGTGAAGATTTGTTTAACTGGTTCAG